GTTTTGTGATAGTTTGGGGAGGACCCTCACATCTTGTCTGTTCATCTGCTGACACATCCTGCAGTCTGGGAAGATTTGCTGTTTGCCAGGGTAGATTTTAGGGAGCTGCAGTGAGACTGCTGAGGCTTGCTGTGCTGCTTTCTCACATGTACCCCAAAGATGAGTCCAGGAGAGACCTGGAGCACATCAGGCACAACTGCATGGTGCTAGAGGGGGTGGCAAGGATAGAGGCAGCTCAGGTGGTGTCTTCCTCTTGATTCTGCTGAAGAAAGGAAAAAGTCTTGGGAAGAGGAGGAAATTCCATGGGCCAGGATGGAGTTGCATGGCTGGTGCCAACAGCAAGTTGCCTTTTATCACCATGGGCTCTTTTATTGGTCAAGGAATGCTAGAAAGAGACAGGATCCACGTGAGCACAGAGGAGAAAAGCGTCCTTGACAACAGAGTGGTGAGGGGAGCTGCAACAGGAAAGCGAGATGACAATCCCCATGTGAGTGAGGAAAGGGACTGGACTGACAAGAAAAAGATGTGCAAATATATGGACAAGAAACACCCTGAAAACAAGAAAACAGGGCACAAGGGCGGCCATTTCAATTATGCCTACACACATACGGAAATGCTAAGGGGGCACAAGTGGAATCTAATTTTGTTTTTGAGGGCAAGTATTCTGCTAAAGTTCACTTTCAATAAAGAATGGAATTATCTCTACTATCAAACATAACTGCAGGGACCCCCAGTAGTTAAATCCAGATCCAAGAGTTTTGTAACTTTGTTTTTTGTTTCCCACATTGTAAATGTGATAGATGAAATTTTGAGATAATGGAATTTGGAAATCATCACAGGATACAATTGCATAGGAAAATAGAAAGTCTACAGTGACATCTGTAAATATTCACAATTGAGGAGATAGCTTTGTCTAGGACAGACAGAATAATATTTTGTTTGGGGAAATACAACTTGTGGAATGAACAAAGGCAGATGAAAAACAGGATAAAAGGAATTACAGATTCAGATAGTTAAACCTTACTCTAAAGGAATTCATCAACAGGTGATTACTATTTAAGGTCTGAAATGTTCCTATCTGCAAAACCTTCTTCTGCTGCATATATTTCTAATGATGAACTTTTCTTCCAGCTGGCCTATAAGACAGGAATATAATTTATAACTTAATAAGGACAAAAAGAAATGGGAAGAAAATGTTTGGTAAAACATACTGATGATATATTGATTTCTTCTGTTTTCCTACCTGGTACCAAGCTGCATAACAAACTTATTAAGAAACAAATTAGGTATTTACTTCTTCTCCACTATCTTTTCAGCCCATAAAACAATCCATTCAAAGGACCTGAGAAACAAGACAGCAAATTCCCCATAGTGTATCCTCATGCTATACTCCTGGGTGTTATATGACTTCTGGGGCTGGGCAGCTTGGTTTCTACCCTATCCATTGCCTTGGCACCCATGGCTTTCACTCTTGAGAAACACTGGTTCCAATAGTCATCCTCAGAGTCCAGCCTGATTTTCCACAGCCCTTCCCTTCCCCTGTCCCCTCTTGTTTTCTTCTCTGTGGTTTCAGCTGTGATATCCCCTGCTCTGCCTCTTGTGCACCCCTGAAGAGCCGTGTGGAAAGTGTGAGTAGCTGGGCACAAATGCACACACACACACACACAGAGGCAAGCTGTGACATGCAGTGTCTCAGCACAGCATCCCTCTCCCTTTTTCCACTGTGAGATGGCACAGGTCATCAACAGCAGGTGAAGGCTGAGCACAGTATCCTGTGTTACTCCTGTCTGCTCATTGAATTCCTATTGCTGGTAAAATTCTCTTCATCCTGAACCAATGAAAGGTAAGTCTTAAATCTTGCCTTAGTGCATTATATTCTTTTAACTGATGACTTTCCCAGCAACCAAATTCTCCTTGCTGGAAGTTCATGAGTGTTTATAACTGAAGAAAGAATGATTTTCTCATCCTTATTAGAACTGTACTCTTTCTCTCTCCTTCTCTCTGACTTCTCCCTTTTCTTGCACTCTAGGCAACTACAGTTCAGCTTACAACAGGAAAAAAACCCAGAGTAATAGAATATATACAAACAAGCTGGAATTGGTAGGTGAATTACAGTTGTGAGCTAAATGCTTAGTGTATAATGCAGAATTAATACGTTGTACATACACTTACCCAATTTTTCACCATATAATTTATTATATATTTAATGGGATATTTTAAGGGTATAGGAGTATAAATACTTTCATTTTAACTTTCATGGTCTGAAAAGCTGCTATTAGTAAAATGCAATTTTAAACCCAGTGAAAGTTTGTCTTCCTAAAATTTTAAGCGTCCTTTTCATGTGCAATTATTTTATTTTTTTTTTTGTTACTGGTTATTACAAGCAGAGGAAGAAAACTGTATTTTTTGTGTGAAGATTCAGTAAACCAAGTGGGCCCTGAGAACCTGTCTCTGCTGTAGAGCTGAGTTAGCTAGGCAGTTTTGAAAAGTTTGCTATGGTCATTAGTTATTTCTGATAGAGAGCATTATTTTCTAAGGGAATAAACACAATCTCTGAAGAAAGAGTATCAACTAAAACTATTGGAAGCCAAAAGAACAAAAAAACCCACACACAAAAAAAGCCCCAAAATACCCCAAAACAAAACTCCAAACCAAACTAAAATGAAGTGACATGAAAAAAAAGGAAAAAGTCTGAAAATCTCTACCAATGAATGTGGACCAACCTTTCACATAAGAGTTATTTTGAATTCTGAGTGCTTGTAGCAAGGACAGGAGGGGATGGGGGGAAAATGATATCATTATTTTATTATTCCTTCAAAAGATTTTTTCAACTTTAACTATTCCACTGCTTCAGAATTTTAGTTTAGTTGCTTGATATTTTAAATCCTGGAGAGTTCATTTACACACTTTTATACCTCTATATTCCTGATATTTGTTTTCCAAGAAAAAATATTGAAAGATTATATATTTTAAAAATATTTCAATGAAACCTTGCATTTTTTTCTCTTTTAAATACCTAATATCAGATAGACATAGGTACAGCTGCAAAATGTGATGAGATAACATGCAGCCAGAAGAGGCTGGTGGAGGATAACAGGCATATGAGCACTTCCTTACTAAGGAGAGTCCTGTGGACCTACCCTGAGTGCTGTCACCTCCTCCTTCTTTCTGTTCAGGAGGCAAGACGATGTGACCATGGGCAGAGCAGACAGCAGCAGCAGTGTCTGGCATGAGCAGCAGGAAGGCAGAGCCTATTTTGATCAGATGCAAGGATAAATTTTTATTTAGCACTTCTGCAATGTTCACACATGGCGTGTCACCTTGAGCTGTGCGTGTGCAGGGGTGAAGGTGTGTGGGTGTGCTTTTCTCCCCGTAGAAGGGTTTCTCGGAGAGGGAGGTTTTCATCCCACACGTACCAGGCTGAAAGCAAAGAAACTGTGTTTGGAAAAGTGCTAAATAAAGTAAGTGATTGAACAGAGGAGAAGGAGGATGAAAGAACTATGCTGATGCTGCTGTCAAAATAAAATGGGACAATTGCTTAAAACAAAAGCCTGGAATACTTTAGTGTACTTAGAAGATTTAATTAGAACTACGTAGGCCTGATTTGCTACTGTTTGTGCCTTATATAATCATATAAATTGTTCAAGGTACCGTATTGTAATAAGGGGAGATACTTACATTATTCATCAAGAGTGAAAATACATTAATGTTGCTGTAGACTTTGAAATAAAATATATATGCAAACAAGCAAAGAAACAAATGAAAAATCATGACGTCTGTGTTTGAAAATGGTTTTGATATAATGCAGAGAAGCCAAGAATCTCCAAATTGTTTCTATTTTAATTTGGCTGTTTGTACCTTGTTCTCACTATTAACATAACATTTATTATTTGTATACATGCAGATTATACAGTTATATCAATATTTCTACATGGAAATTCTTCACTGAATATTCAAGGCAACCTCAGCTTTGTAATGTACCTGCTATAGTATACTATGATGTTGTAATATTATATGTTATCAAGCAACTGGGATATATTGTTTGGCAAATATAACACAAAAGTTAACTAATAAATTTTAAGACAGAAGGCATTTTCATCTGTTTGGTGGAAAACGTTTTATCCCTTTGTTCCCATTTATCCATATGTGTAATGTACAATTTCCTAACAAATATATGGCAAAGCAGCAGGGAAGAAGGCTGGCTGCTATAAGGTCCTGTCATTTGGGTCAGGTGGAAATGCTCTGGAAGTGGTAGGTAGCATCATCATAGACAAAATTCCCTATCAAGCATGTTTACATAGGAGAAACATTTGGAGTTCAGGGTGGCATTGCAATGAAACAATTAGGACAGCAAGGATGTACCCAGGAGAAGATGGGGAGATATCAACTCATTTGCAGGCAATGTGAGGAGCAGTTGGGCTTGCTCATAGTGGAAAACCAGAGCAAAGACTTCACAATGAAGAGCAAAACTTCTTTGGCAAGAATATGTGGTTTACTATAAAGCAGGCTGGAAATGTTGCTGGAAGTTAGTGGTGTGAGGAAAGGATCTGACCTCTAAGAATATGATGCTCCAGAGAGAGGATAGGTTTTACCCCTCTTTCCTAGCAGATCTGAATGAATCTACAGATCTGTATATGAAAGGTATATATATATAAAAAATTTACCTGATTTAATGTAATGAATTTTGAGGGTTTGCACTTCAGAAAACCTGTTTTGTAAATGTAGAATCCCATCATAGCAGTCATTCAGTCTAATTTGAATAATACTTAGATGTCTATGAGTAAATTCTTGCTGGAATTTGCATGATAACTTAAATGATTATCCAGCCTTGGCACTCAACTTCAGTAGACTTCAGTCAATTTCAGTAGAAATTTAGCTGTCTTTGGTGAGCTGTGTAAGGAGTTAATTAGCTTCACTGTGTTGTACCTTCTGTTTGGTTTAGTGAAATTATCTCTCTTCTTTCCTTGCTCGTCATTAACTTTCACTCTCCTTGATTGCAGTCTACATGGATCTTCAAGTTCTTCATTAATTATTTTAGGTAAACTCATTAGACACTGTTCCTTTTGTCTTTCTAAATTTCAGTGTTTTAATGATACTTCTGTTCTCCAAAGGTAGAGGGAAAGTAATTTTTCTGTGCTTTATTCCATTCATAAAAAATTGCAGGCTAGACTTTTTCACTCTCTGCTTCACAGAGACTGAGAGACTCTGAAGTTACAGACTCCCACAATGGAGTCTCCATCCTGTCAACATGAATGGAATCACTTATTCCTAGGTAGCCTACTTGCCTTCCTGTTGTTGCCACAGATAGAGACAAACACATCAAAAATATATTGTAGTGACTTTTTCACTTAAAAACATCTAATTGAAAAAAAATATCATTGAAGAATTTGAAAGATGGATGCTTTTACAGTGTAAGAAAAGCAGTGTGATCGTTAATCTTTTCCACAGTTAAATTTTTCAGCAAGATGACAGTGCTCAACCTAGCTTATGAGATACAGGCATTACAAAGCTCAGTCAAAATTATTTAAAATATATCTATGTTTTCTATGTGGTTGAAGCCTTGAATTTGTCTGGAACTCTTCTTGCATACCACAGACAGACTATCATACTGATTTTTCCCAAGTAAAGTGCATGAATGGATAAGATTTATTTAAAATTTATGTGGTGTGAGTTTTGTGAATGGGAGAATTGGAGTTCTTAGGCTGAAATGTCTTTAAAAATAATTTACTAAAGCATGTCCTGAGGGTCACATCAAACCATTTTCTCATTATAACTAGTGTGAGAGAAGAACAAGATTACATCAAGTTTAATTAGATTTGCCCTATAGTTTATGCTGCTGAGTATTTGCTGAAACTGTTAATAGAACATTCATATACTCAAAGTTTACAGAAATAGACTTCTTGCAATGTCATCACAGATTCACAGTTCCATAAAGACTGTTTTGTCTAAAGGTGTACAAAAATATAGTCATAGATAGGTATAAATTGTATTTTTCAGTATTTCAAATGATTTCAGCATCTTTCTGCTGTAAATCAATTTCATTAATATTTGTTGTACTGGAATTGTGGATACCAAACTTCTCTTGAATGAATTTTAAGCAGTTTTTGCTGGGTTTTGCATTTTTCAGATTTCAGACCAGATGCTTTTGAAGTGCCTGAGAAACAAAATAATCCCATGTTTACAAAGCCAGGAGGAAATGTTGTTTTTACTCATCCTTATAGAATAGGAGATTCAGTGGAGTGAGCGATGAGGGAGAGGATTAAAGCAGATTGGGTAGATACGGTCATTCCGTGCAACTCATCAGGAAAGCAAAGCTTTGGTTCAGATTTGGAAGAATGTACACCAGTGGTTTGCTCTGATCAGGAAAGCTCCAGGACTGTCTTTCAAAACATTACAGCCTCTGACTTTGCGATGTACTTCTGTGCAGCTGCTGGGAGAAACAAAACCATATAATGAGTTTTACTGTAGCTGGTAAGGAAAGGAGGAAATGGTAAATGCTTTCAAAATAGAACCTTCTGAGGCACTAGCACTTTTACACAAATAAAATACCTCTTCAGTAACGAGTGAGGATTTATTTAAATACCACATTCCAATTAGCATCACGTAAAAGATAGCAAAGTTAACAATAAATTTTGTTTTCTAAAAAATAAATTGGGTTTAAGCTTGTCTGATCTCATTACAGGACTTTAGACCTTCTTTGTGAGAAACTGGTTTGATACTATCACAGAATGGAATAGAATCATGGAGTTATTTAGACTGGGAAAGACCTCCAGGATCATAAAGCTCAGCTTTTGATTGGGCATCACCTTGTCGGCTGTGTTGCTGAAGGACACAAAATGATTCACACTACCACTCTCAGTGGTATTCTTTATTCTCTGATTCCAGTACTTATAGATTCTCAACAATGACCAGGGATTGGATAATTAAGTTACCACCTTCCCAAGCACACTGGTCATGCAAAATGTCCATCAAAAGACATTTCTTAGAAGGAATGTGATAAACAACTTATGTCTACAGGACTTTCATGGGAAAGTAACTAAAACTATGAAAACATTATCAGAAGGTTTAATTTTCAGGGCAACGAACAGAATCATTCCTGTTGTTTCTTGAACACTTCCAAGGACAGTGGCTTCATTACCTAGCTGGGCAGAGTCATTCAATGCCTGACCACCTCTTCCTGATGTCCAGCCAGAACATCCCCTGGTGAAGCTTGAGGGAGTCTCCTGTCCTGTCACTGGATGCCTGGGAAAAGAGCCCAACCCCCACCTGGCTCACACCTTTTCAGGTGGTTGTAGAGAGTGACAAGGTCTCCTCTGATCCTCCTTTTCTCCAGGCTGAACAGTCAGCTGTTCCTCATGTGGCTTATGAGACAGAGATGCTTTGGAAAGGGAGTGACGGCCTGAGATTGCAAGAAGATGTGGTCATTCTCCCAAAAAAGGCACAAGGAGAATTCCCCATCAGCACATTGTACTTTAAGGGCTTTGGAGATGACACCTGTCCTCCAACAGGTGTCATCATCTTTGCCTCAAAGGCAAAGAGCACATTCACTGTAGTATTTGTAACGTGGAAATTCATAAACTGGACTCCACCTTATTCAGGTGAGGGGTTTCTCATGGAGAGCTGGGAAGATCTCTAGGTTTTGCTGTTACTATTGTCACAGTTTGCTTATAATGGGAGCAACATGTCCCGACACATAGACACTTGAAATCTCTCAAACTATGGGTTGAGTTCCACCTTTACCTCCATTTTCTGTTATGACTCAGAAAAAAAACCCCAAAAAAAACCCCAGCTTGGTTTTGCTTCTTCTCTGTGGAATGCATTTTGAAGACCTAATCCTGGCACCACCCCCGACCTTCTTCTGTTGCAGCATTCAGTCCAGCTTTCATTGCTCTGCCCTTGTTCCTGGTGACACATGGTACAATAGTGCTCAGCAGTGTTGTGGAATGGTGTAAGACTCCCGAATATGTTTAAACTGCGATATGGTTAATTGAGAAATGGAGAATGCACCTGGGAAAAGAACATGATGACCTGTTTTACCTTGAATACTTGGGCACAAAAACCCGTGAAAATGAGCAGAATATGATAAAAATACAGGAAACAGGACAAAAAGTCCTCACCTCTGACGATTTTAAACATTCAAATTTCAAAATCCTGACAATATTAATATAAGCAAGCATGTCTTAATTTTGGAGCAATAGAAAGATTTCCTTCTTACTCCCAAGTGCAGTGCTTCTAACGCCAAAATAAAAGCATTTTGTTGCAAAAAATGCAGTAACCTTCAGAATGATCAATTCTACCTGTACAAAATATTTCTTCTACAAAAGAAGATAGTTTAGTCTCCATGCTTCTTTTGCTCCTGAAACAAATTGAATTTATGATTTCTAGTCCTAGCAATGGCAGCATAGTTGTGGCTGTTTACTGGAGGAAAAAAAAAAAGAAAACATTGAGGAATATGAAGTACAGTATGACTCAGAAAAGACTCCACTGTATCCCTTTTAAGCACTCGCCCCTTATTATTAAGTGCATTTTGTTGAGTTTTCATTAATTTCAAACAAAGTGAAATATCAAGGATTTATTGTTATTTCTCTTCAACATTTGTAATTTTTCATAACACACAATTAATATTTCTGGTGTGATATGGAAAAACAGTAGGTGGAGAGAAGCAGCGGGGCAGGCATCAGCTCCCACTTCACCCTGTGGCACAGCCAGTGAAGTCTCTCACAAGCTCATGAGTGACTTTGCTTGATCCAACAGTTGTGGCTAGAATAAACAAAACTGCTGCCAGAAACTTGCTGCACTATTTTTTTTTGGTGTATGTTCTACCAGTTCAGTCATGTCACTCTCTTTGGCTCAGATTTTCTACCAAACTCTTCCAACGCTTTAAGCCTGTTGGTGTGATTCTGCATGGGTGAAGCGATTCTTCTCGCCTTGCCCAGTTCCAGAGTTATTTTGAAATACTGAGCCTAGAAGGTGGGAGGAGAGGAGGAGAACTGCTGTTTAGGTTTTGGGTTGAGAGAGTAAGAAAAAATATAAGAATCCCTCCCTTTTTTTTTTTTTTTTTTAAGCTGTTGCTGGGAGGACCTCAAGAACTTTTGAAGAGGAGTAATCTTAGGTGACAGGCTGTATTAAGAGCACAGGATTATTTTCAGAAGAGGTTACAGTCCAAAAACTGCTCATTCTGAGAGGTGGTATGGTAGAAAGAAGCAGCTTGCTTCTTGTCTAGAGGTAAATGTATTTTTGTAAAGAAAAACAGCATGGAATTCCTGTCAAGAAAAAAGGGAGAGAGGAAAGAATAGATATTCCTTCATCCAAGCATCATGAAATCAGTCCTTATAGTTGTACCAGTAAAAGTCAGCATGATGCATTTAATGTTTTTGAATGCTAGTGAAAATGAAACCATGGGATTAAATCAGTATCACTAAGTTTATCCACTCTATCCCACTACATATTTTGAGTGCTGTTTTCCAAAAAAAGGAATTTATAGGTTGATATTCCACAAATATCTTTTGACCTCAAAACCTGGAACATATAAAGCAATGTATTTGTAAAGTAGCATAGTTCTTGTTGGACAACTCTTACAGAAATAGCCAAATATTACATAATTATGCATATTCAAAAGATTTGGGATTAATTTCTGGTGTGTTCTTCACCATATCTCTCCTTCTAAAAATTCTGTCAATATGGAGATCAGTCATGACACCAGATTCCACAACTGAACCCATTTTCTGTGCTTCTCTTACCATGCTGTTTTCTTTAAGACAGTCTTTGAAGAAAGGAAGCAGAATTGCAATCCACAGATTGTTTTGGTGGATAATTGGGAAAGAATGGGACATGTCATATGAAAAGACTGAAAAATAAGCAGATCTGAAAAAAAAGTACTTATTCCCTCTTGAAGGCACAGACATTTTTAGAGATTTAATTTTTTTTTTTCATTGCTTTTGCAGAAAGAAGGGTAGCGAGTTCTCTTAGGCAAAGTAAAACACATTTTTGTGTGGTCCCACTAGATCTGAAAAACAGGTTAGTGGTTGTATTCACATGCACATTTAGGGAATCAGAGCTACATTACAGTTCTACAAGGTCTCTCACCAGCTGTGTTGCCCTCCTCTGGACACATTCAAATACCTCCACCTACTTCTAAATTAGTGGGCCCCAGAAGTGCACACGGTGCTCAGGGTGAGGCCATGGCTGGAGACAGCAGGATAATCTTCATTAGCATCCAGATGAAAAGTAGGGAAGTACTTGTATAGTCACTGGGGGTTATCATACATTTCCTGAGAGCTGGAAGGAGACAACAGTGCTTCTGGGCCATGGGAAGCAGACAGAAAATAAGAACTGCAGTAAGGGGTTGAGGAGAGCCAGGACAGGAGTAAAATTATCTTCCTTCTTCCTTCATGAGGTCATTCAGCATGAACACAAGGTATCAAACCATCTCTGGTTCTCTACTCAACCAACCATCTTTCCCTGGGCTTGATGGGAAGTCATGCTGGATTTCTGCCTTTCAGCTACGGGGTAAATTATTTCAGTGATATCCAGTTAGGACACCATACAAGCCAGTCCAACAAGGTATGTGACAAAATACATGAAGGTCTTGACAGATCAATTCAAATCTCTTGCTAAGACACCTCTCTGGCTCATCCGTGCTTCCTCCTCAAAACCAAAGTCAGTGCACTGAAGGTTGAAAAGTGTCCCTCAAAAAAACTTTCCCAAACTTGCAGAGAAATACTAATACTTAACAGAAATTGTACTGACGCCAAAAATATACTTAATAACCTCCTGTCAGCATAACACCTTTGTTGAGAACATAAGAACTAAAGAGACATATGACAAGTCTCTGACATGTTTCTGCAAAATCTTGACTGGGATGTTAAAGTCAGTAATTACAAAAGGTTTTGTGTAGTTAAAGAAAACAAATGCCTAAGGGAGGTTTTGCTCACTTCAAATGAGAAAAGGCACATGGGCTTTCAGTTGTTGTTAGTTAAAAGAAAAAGAATCTAATGATTTTTCTCATCCATATTTAACTGACAGCTGATAATCTCGGTTTTCAAACTCATTAACTCAGAGATTATTATCTTGACCTGATAAAATTGTAGGTGAATCTTCAGGAAAAGAAAAATGAAGTCTGGAGCAGTTAAACTGAAGGGTGGGGATGCTGTTGAAATCTGCATCTCTGTCCAGATTCACCCGTCCTTGATGACAATCAAATAAAAGATTTAAATTTTTTTTCCCTTGTTACTTACAGGATTTTTTTTTGTATTTCTGTTAAGTACTCAGTGACACAGACATTGACTTTCTCTGGTGGGTAGCATAACAGCTGGTAAAAAAAGACATTATAATTTTTCCTGAATTTGGAGGTAAGTATATACACCATCCTGTCATTTAAAGTACACAGCAGCTGAAAACATTCTGCAGTAGAGTGATTTCATATGAAGTTGTAACACAGAAGGTGTTGGTTTTTGTTATCAGGTGGCCTTCTCTATAGTGTCACACACCTTCACCAGTGTAAACTTCTGAGAGAATTTTCTTTCTTTTTTCTTTCTAGTAAAATAGCACTGCATTCAATTATAATACTCTTCTGTAATCAGTATTTTTTTTCCTATTATCCTTTCCAATGAACATATTAATGCTAAAGAGGTGTACCTGAGCAAGTCTCATGTGGCACTCAGGACAGCCAGATAAGAAGTGAACCTTTTTGATCCTGGAGAGGAAAGGCACCTGGTGATGGCTCAGCAGCTGGTTAGCAGGGATTACTTTCATTAGTGACAGTGGTTGCTTTCCTTTGCCTGTGAACTAAGCACATACCTTTCTTGTCTACCCCAATGGAAGCACTTTGGGGCAGCTCTCTTTTCATTGTAGAGTGAGCAGGACATGAAAGAGGGAGTACACCTGAAGACAGATTTTAACTCCCATTCACCAATGAATAGCTGAGAACTTGAGCTGTGGATTACCTGTGTGGCTTTGATAATATTACCTCTGTTCTTACCTCCAATGCTTTTCACCTAAAAAATAAGTATTACCTCACCACAGACTTGAGCACTATAAGAATTAATTGGCTTATACCTTGAAGCCATTTTCTTGTCTGTCTCTACCTTCAGTTATTATAGGTTGCTCTTTAGTTTCATTTGAAGATATGACTCCATTCCAAAGAAATCAATACATTTCAAACAAAGTTACTATAAATTTAACTTTTCATGACTAGCTTGCAGTTTTCAAGGAAAGCCTTTTTGCTTAGGCTGGAACAAATGGGGCAGGTTTCCTGACATCCATCATGAATGTACATACAATATTAGGTGATTAAAAAAAGGGAGTGATAATGGGAGAATTTTTTGTGATTTTTTTTTTCTTTTTGTTAAAAACAGAACAGATTTATTTTTGAATTAGAGTAGAAAATAACTGATATCATTGTGTGCAGTACTGGAGAGGAAATCTCTTGAGCATTGAGATGATCTTCCTGGTACTCTGAAAAATAACTTGCTGCCCATGGAAATATTAAATGTTGGTATCTCCTATAGGACAACCTTTACAACCACAGAACCACAAGGTCAAGATGGAAGGGACCACAATGAATTATTTGGTTCAACCTCCCTGCTCAAGCAGAGTCATCCTGGAGCACATGGCACAGGATTGTGTCCAGATGGTTCTTGAATATCTCCAGTGAGGGAGACTCCACACCCTCTCTGAGCAATCTGTCCTGGTGCTTGCACCCCCACAATAAAGATGTTCTTCCTCATATTCAGGTGGATCTTCCTGTGCATCAGTTTCTGCCTCTTGTCCTATTGTTTAGCACCACTGAGAAAAGCCTGGATTCATTAATCTCTTTGGCACCCTGCCTTCAGATGCTTATGGACTTACAGGTTGGACTTGATGATCTCAAAGGTTTTTCCCAACCTAGCTGATTCTGTGATTCCATTACATTGATGATGTCTCCTCTCAGTCACCTCTTCTTGAGGCTGAACAGGCCCAGCTCCCTCTGCCTTTCCTCATAAAAGAGACTCTCCAGCCCCTTCATCACCTTTGTTGCCCTGTGCTGGAGCCATCCCAGGAGCTCCATGTCTCTCTTGCCCTGAAGAGCCCAGAACTGGACACAGCACTCCAAATCTGGCCTCAAAAATCAGGGCTGAGTAGTGGGGCAGGATCACCTCCCTCGACCTGCTGGCAAAGCTCTTCCTAATGCAGCCCAGGATCCTACTGGTCTTTTTGGCCACAAGGTCACTCTGCCAGCTCATGGACAGCTTGGGGGGAAACCACCAGGACCCCCATATCCTTCTCTGCAGAGATACTTCCCAGCAGATCAGCCCCAGCCTGTGCTGGTGTGTTGTGTTATTTCTCTCCAGGTTCAGGAGGACCCTGTATTTGATCTTGTTGAATTTCAGGTTCTCTACCCATCTCTCCAACCCATCAAGGTCCTTCAGACAGCCCTCTGAGGTATTGGCCTCTCCTCACAGCTTTGTGTTAGCCAAGAAGATTCATTTAAGTGTACTGAGAACTTTTATTAACCATGTATTGAGTCACTTAAGTATGGACTGCTTTCTCACCAGGGGACAGAAAGAGATAGAAATGGATTATATAAAGCATAGCTATTTTTTTTTATACCGCTGTGATGTGTTTACTCACCTTTGGTCATGCCAGTCACAACTTAGTTAAGAGCTGGTTCAGCATAATAAAGGCTTTTTAGAAATGAGGGAATTGCTGTAAAGTCTGAATATCAAGCATGAGCTGTCATGGAATAATGTCTTTATATAATCATTGATCTTGCAGCTTAGTTTGTCATAAAAAGTTCATGCTGATTTATTTTTTTACAGAATATCAATTGTATTTATTGCAATCATATTTTAGCAACTTGGGACCACAAGTGGTTTATTACCTACATAGCTGAAGGGATTTCAGCTGCTCTATTGGTATTAGATTTCCTACTGATCTTCTGCATTACCACTGCTTATCACAAAAAACAGTAACGAAGTAACAAATCAATTTGCATAATATACTGAAGCAGGTAAGGATGGATGTGTTAACAGCTCATCCTACTATCCCCCTCAGAAGGGAAGAAAAAAAAGAAGTATATGTAAAAAATGGAATTTTCTCACTAAATTTTAAACTCGGAAAAACCTATCAGTTCTACAGCCTATGAAAAAGTGACATTTTCTGTATGTTTTCCCTTTTTTTCACATTGGGAAAACAAATTACTTACTTAACTTCATTTTGTCAGCTAAATGCTTACGGTGGTATTAGCTGAAACAACATATTAAGGGTGATTTGTCAGCAGTAACATCAAGCTAGGCACTGCTATTCCTTTTTTGTGCACAGAGGACAGGTGATATCTTGAAGTTTTCTACATCTGCTAGCATTTTTTGTCCTCTGTTTTTATGTTCCATATTTACAGCTGGATCCAAAGTAATAGCTTAAGCCATTATCTAAGTTTGCTGTATTCCCTGCCAAAAATCTTTAGTGGTCTAATCGAGAATCTCTCTTCTTCCAAAGAAAGAAATAGTGAGCAGAAAATATATTCCTTCCCCTACCACAATATATGAGGCTGTTGGGATTTTGGGCAGCATATCAGTATTTCCCCAAATCAAAGGGCCTTTTCAGGCTTTCATGACACAGTGCTAATCTCATGCATGTTGCAGTTGGCAAATCTACCTGGATTTTTATTGTATTTATTGGTTTCAGTGGGAAAGCAAGCAATATCAATATTATATTTGAATTAGGTATTTTAGACTATACTATCATGTATGCTGCAGTTTTCTCCACTATGTTTCTGACTAAATAAATGTCTTCAGAAAGAAGAGGATTACAGAGGTGTTATCAAAAGCTTTGTACTCTGCTCAGATCTGGGTAAGATCACCTGTTGAGATGAAGCTTACTCATGGTTTGTACTGTATATTTATTAAGACCTTTCTCTTCTGTGTCTGCTTTTTATATCCCCTGAATCTCACAGTCTATCTTAAACTGACAGGAAAAACTGAAGATTTTAAAATATAATTATTACCATTCATTAGTTTTTTTATGAATATCCTTTAATGTTTTACAGCTACATTTAGAGACTCTACTCTGTTCCATGTTATTAACAAATTACATCTTTCAGTTTGATAGCCTTTTTATTATTTGTATCTTTGTTAATGTCTTTTTTTCCTGAAGTCATCACTTGTAAAACTGAGACAAAAATTTGCATTCTATACTATTATTATATTCTATTCATACTCTTTATCTTATCCGTTTTTTCCAGATCAACTTCACTACAATTCTTTAGGACAGGTGTTTCAGTGCATCTCCTATTTTTTTAAATTTTTCTTTTTTTTCGTATTGTAATAGTCCATGTTTTGGAACACTGAGGGTTACTTTTTCCCTCCTTAATAATCCTATTCAAGCCCTAAAGTTTAGAAGTGGAAAGACAGGAGAAAATTTCACTGCTACTGTCTTGTCTCTTCACACCATTAATTGGAGGTATGTTTAGGGAAATGCGTGCTTCACGGTGGATGTGAGACTCTGGCTTTCCACTTATCACCTCTCAGATCTCACTCCTTATGATCCAGTGATAAGCTCCACTGTCAATATTTCCTTATAAAGCTCATTTCTCTCTTTCTGACTGTTGGGTCACTGTTTGCACCAGGATGAAGCTCTTTTTATAGACTGGCCTTAGGCTAGGGACCACCCTTTTGCTTCAGAAACCACCTTTCCTCCATACCAGTTCACCCAGGTACTGTAACATTAAATTGTCTGAATGAAATGACTAATTCTTACCATAGTCAATAGCTTCAGAATAATTAATGTTTTAAGATGGGTGTAGGAGAGACTGCGTCAGTTATCTGAAGAGTGTGTGTGAGGGGAAGGGGGCATTTCACTGGTGTTTTACCAGGGGCCAGATGTGAGACTGCTGGGAAACACACTGTCATGAGGTGACTTTACCTTTAAGGTGGTTGTGAGAGCTAAGGAAGTTGAAGTTGCTGGGGACTGAAAGGAGTCCCTTCTCCTGACCAATTATTGGTCATTACTGGGGATTGACAGCATTTTAACTATTGAAAAGGGAGATCAACTTGTGAACCCTACCTTAAGATGTAAAGTCAGGGCACTTAGGCTCTCTTTGTTTTCTGGCTGTGAAGGGTGGCGGAGCTCCAGGCCTCCCGTTCCCTGCCCAGGCCATGTGGCCAGGCAGGGCCGGGGCCGGGCCCAGCGGCTCCCGGCCGGGAGATGGGGGGGCCTGGGGAAGGTTTTCCGCGGGCTCTGGCCGGACTAGGCCGGGCTGATCTCTGGCTCGGCTGCAGTTTTTTGCTGTGACTAAATTTACTAGAGACTGCCGAGTGAAGAAGGAGAGAGGCTCTGGACCTGCAGCGGGCTGGGGTGGCGACCACACTCTCCAGAGCAGCCATGAGGAATTTTCTATCGCAGACAGCTCCAGCTCCTGCACCGGCAAAGGTCACAGAGCCATCTACAAAGTCTGGACAATATTTTAAACTTTTCATTTCCCAGATGAGACTTGCAGATTAATCTTTTTTATCCAGAAAAGGGAAAAAGAGAGTGATCAACATGAAAAGAGACTTTATATAAACTACCAGTGACAAGAAAGAAAAGAAGCTTCAGGAAAGGTAGAGAATCAAGAAGATGCTTTAATTAAGATGAAATATTTTTCTGTTAAAGCTATGGAGATGGACAATGAAGTCCTGAAAGAACTCCTTTAATTCATGACCATATATAGGGAGGAATAGAGTGTTCAAAGTGAAAATTTCGAGTAAAAAGTAGAGTGACTGTGATATAGTGAAGTGCTGGAAACAGTGAAGCGAAAATTTGAAGCCTTGGGGGGCAATGCGAAAAACTGTTTTCTGGTGAAGCTCACAGAGACAGATGAAGAAGACTTTTGCTTTTGAATAACTCATCCTTAAAATGCCATCCCTAGACTCATGGCCCATACACACCTCAGAGTGATGAGGTGAGTGAACTCTGATAACAGCAGTTCTGGGCAGCTGACATCAGGGCAATGGAAAACTATAACAAAAATAGTTTTCTTGTGAGAAACTCCATAAATTAACAGGAAGAAACTTCTGTTTCTCTACAAAGACTGGTGAAAAGACTGTAGCAGGAATTGGGACTGTTTTAACCATCAAAGTTCCAAAGTTTTTGTCTCTGTTGTCATGTGAACAAGGGAATAGTGGGTAGATAGGGGATGAAAAGGTTTTTCTGGAAGTTTATTCTGGTGTTCTTATTATTGTAGTTTGTCAATAAACTTTCTTTATTCCTTTTAAGTTTTATGCCTGTTTTGCTCTTGTTCTAATCCATATCTCACAGCAAGAAATAAGTAATTTTTTTGTTAGTTACTGGTTTAAAACCACGACACACACTCAAGCTGCAACTTCTTTTTTTCATATGACTTGAATCTGAAATGTATTCACAGAAAACAAGAAGACAAACCCCCATTTTATTGATGGTTTCATACTTCCCAATAATAAATCAGCACCTGAAGAAAAAATTTTCTGCTTTTGCAAAGTGGTAGCTGCTTCGAGAAAAATCCTTCAACTTTTTATTTTTTTTTTTTTATTTTTTTTTTTTCCTTTTAATGTTCTTCTAGCCTTCTTCTAACGGTTATGGAAGATCCAATTTTCATGGCTTGCACAGCAGAGAAAGAAGAGAAGAATCACCACTCTGGCAGACAGAGGAGATTTATGTCAACCGCAAAAACATCTCACACAAACATAAGACCATTAGGTTCTTTCTTAAGAACGAAGTAATCAAAGCACAAACCTTTTATTTGCAGCACAGACTTTATTTTCTCTGTGCTGGCAAGGTGAAACTGGCTGTGCTGGGCACAGCCTGGGCTGCTTTGGCAGGACAGTGACATGACCTCGGCTGTGTTGGTGCTGTATTGCAACCTTCAGAGCTACCCTATCCCTTAATTCATATGTAGAATTCAATTGTCTTTCTGCACTTGAAACACTTTTACCTAGTAGGTGGACTCCTAAGTATCAGTTTTAGAACAACTCTAATATGCAGAATGGAACCACATATTATTACAGAAAGTAAATTTGGTCTGAGAAATCTATGTGTACGGGAAGCCTGTGTGACAGGGTGAGAAAGAAAATGTGTTTGATGTTGTCTATGTTCATGATTCTTGCATGTCAAATTGAGAGCTCTATAGAATAATAAATACCCATGATTTTCCACACAGGAGGTGTTATTTTGCTGCTGGGCAAACAGTGCTATTCAGCTGACAAAAGCAAGTGTATCAGGGCTTCTTGAACCTAGATTTAAAAGATGAACAGCAGCTTGGTATCTGACAGCTTTGTGGTTTTACAGGCTTCTTGCCACTTGCCACAGTAATTTCAGTGTTTTCTTTTTGGAGATGCAATTGAAGTGTAGCCCCTGCTCTCCTCCCCCACTCCTTCACCCTCTTCACTCCCCCCCACACCCAGAAGAAAACAAAACAGGAAGACTCTGTCACTGTCAGGTTATATTTAATAATTTATTATAAGGTTTAATTGCACAAAAAATAAATGAGAACATGGAAGGTATATGAGTAAATGATGCAAAGCAGAAGAAAGCATGACTGAGAACATTTACAAAACAATACACATACATATGTAGTTGTATGTGTGCATATGTATATATTCTGCTGAAACCTACAGAAGAAATCACACAGAAATTGAACAAACAGACAAAAAAAAAATAATCCTTAAACAAACAGAACTAGAAGGCAGACCTGAGAATTAGGATCTATGCATCTTTTGGCCTTTTACAAATCTGCTGAATTACTGAGGACAGAATCCCAGTGAGCGAAGGTGTTACCATGACAGCTGATAATCATCTATGTCTGCTTACTGCAAACTGTGTGCCTGGCCCACCTATGCCTGATTCCACTTCTCTCTTGAAGCACACATAAAAATGTTGCTGGAGACAGCGTTTGGGGGGTTTTTGTTTGGGTTTTTTTTGAAAGGGGTTAGTGGTGGAGGCATCATGAGTCTGCCTACAA